CTTCTCAAAATGGATCAATGAGAATTCCTATTTTTTAGTAGCTGGTTTGTCATTTGCTGTAATTATCAACACTTCTCCTTGCAGAGTTTCCCTGCAGGAGTAAAGTTACGCCAAGTTTAAATTGGTCGTAATCTTCTTTCATTATGGCCAGTATAGGGAACCAAAAAAAACAAAAAAGAAAAGCTGTGCCTCTTAAAACAGGGTGTAAGTTATCCAGCTCCATTAAAAGCCTTTAATGTGCAGATGACTCCCTTAATGATTCTGTCAGGCACTTTTTCTCCGCCGAAGCTAAGTGGCTGAAAAATGACCCGTTGGAAAGAGAGTCATAAAGGCGGCCATGTTGTTGTCACCTCCTTCGGGGACGAGCGTGGCTCACTCAGGATGCGCCAGCTCCACGCTTGACCCCGAATATTAAATACGAAGCCCGGAAACACGGAGAGCACAATAACATGAATAAACTCAGCTTGACCAGCCCGATGTGTGCAGCGTACAGGGAGCAAAACAGACAAGAGGCTGAGACGTCAGCAGACAAGCTCGTTATTGCCCAGATGTCGAATTGTCTCCTCGTAGCAGACTTTGTTATTATCAGCAGATTCCTCCCTGCTCCTCCTGCAGCGCTCGGCAGCAGGACGCAGCACATGAAAGTGTTAGCAATACGGTGGATGTCTGTCCGGTCCTGTAAAGCTGCAGAGAGAGACGAGGCAAAAAAGCACTCGTACACGTGCTGTTTGTCTCCACTGCTGCATCTGTAACAATAAGAAACACTATTATTATTATAATAGCACGACTTACTGAGCTGAGAAAGCACAGAAATAACCACAAGCAAGAAATAGTTCATTTATTTATTAATGCAAACACCATATATGCAGATGCTTTGAGAGAAATCTAAAAAGATAGATTGCTTTTGTTTTTCAGAAAGTCATTCGCAAGCAAAAAAAAAAAAAAAAAATCTGCAATATTATGATGTTACTCATGTTTGGGGTCAGTTAGACCCCAGAGAAGCCGACCTCCCTGTTAGTTTTCACAAAAACAAAGAAATACTAATAAGCTTTTTGGGGATTTGGGAGTGCTGCATAAAAAGTACAATTAGCAGCAATTACAGTTTTTATGCACTGTATTTAATCTTGTTTTACAGCTGAGACCAGTGCTGGGTTGTAACTAAATAATACATTTGCACTTTATTTGAATGTGTTTAATTAGAAATGCACATGAAATGAACTTGGAATATTTACAGATGTGTCTTTTCATAGACGTAGAAGACAACTGGATATAAAAAGACGTGATGAAATTTTCTGGGGGAAAAAAAAATGCATAATGTCAGCTGTTTCTTCCAATCTATATTAACAAAGCAGGCGGTATGTATTGTGTTAAGCTCGTCTATGTGCAGCTCCCTCCCGTGTCGCTCGTGACAGCTGATGTAGTTGTAATGGAGGACTTGTAACAACCGGAGTCTGTCAGATTTCTCAGGGAAACACAAATGCACTCCTTGTCACTCTGTCAGGTTCTTAATGGGGTTTGTTAGCCCAGAAACATATCTGCTGTGAGACACTGTCACCGAGCACCCAGCCTTGATGTTTTTGAAGTTAGCCGGGCCTTGTTTGTATCTTCATCCCGTTTATATATTCAGTACATGTCATGCTTTTTTTTTTTTTTTTTTTTTTCCTCAAAAAAAAAAAAAAAAAAATGTTGGTGCTCTCCACAAGATGTCTCCCTCACTGATGCTCACTGGGCTGTCTGTGTGATGTTAATGGAGTTTCTGAGAAGCGTTTGTGACAAGGAGACTGAAGGTCGCTTTGGAGACCAGCGCTCCAGCATGGGACGCTCTGACTCTCAGCGATCTGCAGCTGTTTTTTTTTTTTTTTTTTGGATGCTGTAAGCTGCAAATCCTCCTCACCTGCCTCCTGTGACGTTTTACTTTCCACTTACGTGTGAAGGAAGAGACTCAGCTCTCAGCGCGTTGCATTATTAAACACCTTGTTTATCGCTCAGAAATAATTTTCGGCCCAGGAGAGAGAAAATCAAGGAAGAAGCCTACGAGGACTCTGACGTTTAAATACATGATCCATAGAACCCTGTAGAGGGCCGTGATGGGGCTGGAGCCTGTGGTTGTCCATCACTACAGAGACAGACGATCATTGAATCTCACAGCTAAAGCCAAATTAGAGTCATTAATTAACCGAGCATGCCTGTCTTTGGACAGTGCACCCGCAAAAACCCACAAAAAATATGCAAACCCACTCAGAAAGGTCACAATGGACCTAAAGATTCAAACCCAGAACTTTCTAGTTGTCAGACAACAGAGACTTTTCATTACATATCTGCTTTGTTTGCACACACACACAAAAAAACACACCTACATTTCTGCACGGCACACGTGGAGCAAAACAAATGTAACCCACTGCAGTCGACGTAGCACTTTCTTTAAACAATAACTCCAACTGTACAGAAAAAGAGGGGAGGCAGCTGTATTTTGTGTTCCTCTCTAAGCTCAAGTGATGTCCGATTCTAGGTAAACAGCACCATCTGCGAGGCCGTAATGATGCTGCCATTTTAACAGCGCAGCCAGCCGGCAGCATGCGGGCCGGCCCAGGTGTTACTTTGTGCACATCTATGCTGTTAAAGCCCCGAACGCACACAACCAGGCAACCGCGCACGTGCAAAGTTAAACACAGAAATGAGAGCAGACATCTTGAATCTGAGCTGACTTAGCAAAAGACACGTTTCCTGTGTTTTGTTTTTTCGCAGAACGCCTTTTGAGCAGCAGGTGTAAATGATAAAACCACTGAAGGGCGAGTTTTATGTGACTGTTTCGCTTTCAGGATCCTGCAGTGCAAACAGTCGTGGCTTTAATGGGACACTTGAATAATAATGGTGTTAATAACTGCTGTGCTTTTCCTACTGTCTGCTGCCAATCTGTGAATCCTTAAGTGTAAAATATCACATCACATTCACCTAAAGGAGTGAAATCTCAAATGTGCTGCATTTTCTACATGCATAACCTACATTTGGGTCGTTTTGGACAAACATCAGCGATTCACAAGTGTCCAAGTTAGAATTTTTTGACCATTTTTTTGAGTATCTACTGTGATGAGGGCTTTTGGATGCAGCCTGTTTAAAAATTCTGCTGTTGAAATCATCATTCTTTTAATCAATTAGTTGACTGATGGAAAATTAATCACCAAACTATTTTAATTAATCGAGCCAGTGAGTCATCTATTAAGCAGACGTGTGAAAATTTGCAGTTTCAAGCGGCTCAAATGTGAGAACTTGCTGCTTTTCTCTCTCTTACATTCTTGTTAATGCTTTTTACAAGCTATTCAAAGTATTTCTCAGGATTTCTGCACATCTTAGAGACTGTACAGTTAGCTGAGTAATTAGGAAGAGACGTGAATGCAAACATAAAAATCCAAAATATGTGCATGACACACGCTCGTGACCTTGTTTCTTGATCCACCAAAATGTCAGCGGATGTTTCACTCTGAGGATCTACGACACCGTATGAAGGGATCATTGCTGCTCAAACCACAAGGTTCTAGTTGATCTAATTTTGCTGCTGTTTTCTAATTTTGCCACAGAGAGGGTTAAAGTATTTTGCTCTCAGGCAATTCTAGCTCCTTGTGGGTATTTTTTATTTTTTTTTGTGCTCCTTCATCGATATGGCAAAGGATGGTGCTAAAGACGTATTGCAGGAGATGCTGCCTCAGCGGGTGATGCACACCGGGCCTGTAGGCAGCAGCTAACGATCCCAAAGGTGATAGAGATATCCGATCGACAAGCTGATAATGAGACAGAGAGGGAGCGAGTGTGAGAGGAGGGTTCAGTGGGAACTCTTGTAAAACAGAACAAGGATGCAGCTGTCCTCGCTTGACTTTTCATTCCTGAAAAAAAAAAAAAAGAAAAAATCAACATGGCAGCAGCTTGTGTATTTTTAGATGCCCTTTTTACACAATATTTTGGTTGCGCACACCGCATGCAATGAATGATTAAGAGTTTTCGGAGTGAAAGTGGCAATTGCTTTGCAGAGTCACGCCAATGTGCGATGATGGAGGAGAGAGAGAGAGAGAGAAAAAAAAAGACTGAGAAACATAGAAACACAGTGATAAGTAATGATGATGGCTGCTTGGAGTAAAAGCTCAAGGGCCTTGTTTCACGGACCGTATTTTTTAATTTGTTTTCCCACTCGCTGATTGCACTGCAATACACTGTAACCAAGCAGATCCGACTGCAGTGCTGTGTTTCACTGTGGCTGTGTGGGTGTGAGTCTTTTTTTTAAGAGTGAGAAGCAGAGAAAAGAGACGGGGAGAAAGAGAGGAGGAGGTACAGTTTACAGCCACATCTCTGAGCATGTGTAAAAACAAACTGTACAGTATAAATGCAGGTTTCTCCCTCACCCAACTACCACCACCACCACCCCAGTAAGGTTAAATCTGGAAAGTTCTCCTCAATCTGGGTTGCTCTAGTGGTTTATTATGCAAAATCAGGCGGTAAAAGAGACACGGAGGGAGCCCCAGCTGCGGAAATGTACTGTGCAGTTTGCATTAGCGGGAGTATTGTCTGTGTAAAGCAGAAAGTGTCTTCATTCGTTCAAGTGGAAGCAGATATTTTTAGCACGAGACAATAGTCAGCCAGCTGAGAAAGTTCCCCTCTGGTTATGGTCTCAAAATTAAGTGAGGATAGTTGGATATTAACCCCCACAACCCCGACCATCATGGCCCCTAGTACAGGCTGTGGCCTTTCAGACCACCGCCGACCTTTTGGCTGCCCTTCTCACTATGCAGAGTCCGTACGACGACGGAGTCATGTTCAGAGGACGAGCGTCGGTGCTCGACGTGCTGTCCAGCTGAGATTTGAAAAAAAAACCCCAAACCCAAACATATTCCTACCCACCTGAAAGACGTAGGGGGGGGAGGGGAGGGGGGCTTATTAATATTCGACCATTATTGATCCTCTGTGTAACTTTAAAGTCCTGTACTAACTGCACTCCCCTCGCTGTCCTGCAGGACTACACCTTGACGATGTACTTCCAACAAGCGTGGCGGGACAAGCGTCTGTCCTACTCTGAGATCGCCTATAACCTGACTCTGGATAATCGAGTGGCAGATCAGCTCTGGGTCCCCGACACCTACTTCCTCAACGACAAGAAGTCCTTCGTTCACGGCGTCACGGTGAAGAACAGGATGATCCGTCTCCACCCTGATGGGACGGTGCTTTATGGACTCAGGTAAGCCTTTTACAGCTGCCCTTCCTGTCGCGCCGCAATCAGAGGATTGATCATGATGCATAATGGAGTAATGTGATTGTATCCGGTGCATTGTATCTGACTGAGCCTTTGTAATGAGTTAAAACTGTGGCGGCTCTTAATTTTGTGTTTTTGTGCACCAACGAATGAGCTGCTGAGGTTTGGGAACAAAGCAATATTTCTAAAAAAACATTGGCAAGAAACACGAGCGGTCAGAGGACAGCGAACCTCATAGGTTAAGCCAAATGGAGGCAAAATGGCTCCAGTCAGCTTCTGTTTACAACACTGAAGTTACACTTTTCATGTGCATTGAGGGATTTTTATGGGAAACCAATGTATTAACAGTGCAGTTTTGAAAAAGAAGACGACACATCGAGGCTGGGGGAAGCCGCTTTATTTGTTTAGTTCAAAATGTCTGACATAGGAAAGGCATTAAGACAAGAAATGAAAGATACAATGGATGAAACAGGTGATAAAACAGTTGAAATTGAGGGCAGGAGACCAAAAAAAGGCATCTGTAAAGGCAGTAAGAGGTTATTATTTAAAAATATATATTTTTCAGTTATTTTCTTCTGACTTTCAATAAATGAGGAACTGACTTTTAAAGAAAATGTCTGTTTTGACTGGAGACCCGTGAGTTTGTGAGGTCACAAAGAGGATTTCCTTGGCTGTAAAAAGTTGAGAACTAGTAATTCAGGTAGGCTGACTTGTTTACAGCAGCTGTGTTTGTCTGAATACTCGTTTCTCTTCTCGTCACCAAAGCGATGCTGCCATCAGCAACACTGGTGCTGTTATTATAACTGATGGCAATGATGATCAAAACTAGGAAAATAGGGCCCAAGTTGTAATTAAGCAGAATTACCCTTTACCAACTGTGTATAGGAGGAGCTGTCGGCCTTCGTATTGTAGTATTTTATATCCCTTGATGATCAACATTGTCAATAATTGATTGGTCATGATCAATAATGAAGCAGGGGGGGTGCAAACGGCCGAACGGAGTCTGATTGTGTACAGTGGTTCAGCCCATCTACAAGACGTCTTTGTGGTGCTGGACTGTGATGCCTCTGAGGATGCTGTCATCCATAATTGATAGCTCGTAATCAATAATGTAGCGGTTCAATACAAACACCGAATCTGTATTTGTACTGATGCGGCGCATTTCACTGCACAGGCTCAACCCGAGCCGTCCATCACTGCAGCGGCTGCCTCCTCTGATCTGTCACCCCCCTTTCCATGACTCTGTATGTGAGATTAGTGTGTGTGTGTGTGTTTTAAACGCTGAGGTTATTGTTGCTAATTCAAGACGTTGCAGTGTTCAGTCATTCTCTCTCTAGACCGAGATGCCCTTCTTGCGCAAAGACTGCTTAAAAAATTTAAGTATCTGCACTGCACCAGATTATTCATCGCTACATTTTGTTTCAACAGCCGAGAAATGTAATTTATAACACTCTCACTCAATTATATAAGCCTAACACATATTTTTGCATAACAGCCAAAAAGCAATGGAGGCTCGGAGAGTTGTAAAAAGTGTTGTAAAATTTGAGGGTGTGCGTGCAGCAGGGAGATGTGGTTGTTACCTCAGATACGCTGTCCTTGTCAGTGCCGGTGCCTCCCGGCTCCTCCATTATTTGGTTCGTGGGTTTGGTCCAGGTTTTATTTGATGCTAGCAAGTCCAGACACAAGCTGCTGTCAGAGTCAGCCCGGCCAGATGCCTGTGCGCTCTGAGCACACTGACACATACCTGTAGAGACGGGCCGGCTGGTTGCAACAGCAGGGCTTTAGTGGATGTGGAGGAGATGGCTAACTGAGAGGAGACGGAGAGTCTTCAGCAGGGAAACAGGATGGATGTGAACACACGCCCTGTCAGAGTGTCTTAGTTTATGTCTGGCTCCTTATCTGCTGAGCTGTGAATTCATCCCGAGTAAGAAAAAAAAGTAGAAGGAAATTAAGCACAAATGAAGCTGCAGAATGACCACAGCGGAGTTGTATTACATTATTTAATTATTTGAAAAAGTTATTACTGATGCATCAACATGTAAGCTTGGTTGGAGTATTTGTTCAGGATGGTGCTGATTTTAACTACCTTGTTTGATCAATGCATCTTGTTTGTAAACTAGCTGTAAATAAATTAAAAAAGTAATCTGAAAAGTAACTAAGGTAACTAGCTAAATGTAACTGAAGTATACGTACAAATTAGTTTCAAATGCAAACACCTCAAAAACTTAAAAAAACTTACTAACCCCAGTACATGCAGTTGGTTATTCTTTACTCTGGTGGTTTAATCTGTAATAATCCAGCTTTTAAGTAAAATTAATATGTGTATGTTATAAAACCTAAACCTGTACGGTAACTGCAGCTGTCAAATAAATGTAGCGGAGTAAATATTGCAGTGTTTCCTGGTAAGATGTAGTGACATAACAAATTGTAAATATTTAAGTAAGAAATAGTCAAGTACAGTAGTTCAATTAACTGTACTATAGTCATCTACATACATGCTTGAAGTGCTAAAATGTCTCAGTTTTAAAGTATCACTTTTGCGCTTTTATATTTTATTAAATGTATTTGTTAAGAAAAAGCTTCTTCCTCAGCTGGTGTAAAGACAGCTTGTGTAATATCTTGAGTGGCTCTGGACTGTACATAAAGATGGAGGAACCTGAGATGTTGTCACCTATAGGTTTCCTGAAAAGAGGTTTTGAAGCTCAGTGTGGTGAGTGTGCTGGTGGCTCCAGTTGTCGCAATCTTGGCAGTGTTTGTTTCCCCCTAATTCCCGGCTAACCCAAATTTTAGCAAAAAGATGGATCGAGTGTGGAGCTGAGGTGGACCATAAACTATTCTATTACATTTCTCAAAGCAGCCACACCCTGAATAAAAATGCACAACTTTAAGCCTTTATACAATTTAGACGGGTGAGTTATGTAGAAATGCAGCCCGTGTGAAGTTACCATGAATAGAGAATTGAGCTACAGAGACCAAAACCGTTCTATGCATCAAGCTGTGAACATGTTTATTTTTACTGTAAAGGTGGGCATTTTAACATGGGGCTCTATGGGGATTGACTCACCTTTGAAGCCAGTCTCAAGTGGCCATTTGAGGAACTGCAGTGTTTGGTATTTCATTTTCCAGCTCTGGGGGTTGCAGCTTGCTCTGAGAGACCTTTGTCAGATGTGAGAAACCTCAATGAGACTTCTTTTTTTAACAAACTAAAAGCATGCAGTTTGAAAACACAGAATTTACAAAATTAAAGATGCTACAGAGTTGCATTGTGGGAAATGTAGTCAGTATATCTCAGTTTTCTGTTTGCTGCAATTGCGATGATTCTTTTTCAGCCTGTATCTACTGATTCCCCCAATTTCAAGTAACTAATGTGAAATCACATGGGTTTAGTGTCAGACAAGGAGTAGAAATATTTTACAGCGTGTTTAGCTTCGAGCCACATTTTGTAATTGAACTGAATAATTCAATAAATCAAAATGCGTTGTACAATTAGTCAGAAACTCTCATAAGTTTCAGCTCTACCCAAAATGTACGCTTTGCAAAACTTAACCAGTCATCAGGTTTAAGATCAACTCTTTCACTTCATTTCATTACTGTTTTTCCTTTGTTTAAACATCTGTTAAATATGTCATGCTACACAATATCATGTTGTCTCGCTAAATCCTTGCATAATGAGCGGCAAAAGTAAACATATTACTGGCCTCAGAGGTGAACGTGGATTTGTGCTGAACTAACTGAAATTAGCTAACACCGTACCTGGGGAACACCACTAGATTAGTCTGTTGTTTGGTTTGCAGGAGGCATTAGATGCTCGTGTATGTGTGTGTATGTGTGTGTGAGTGTGAGATCTGTGTCTGCGGGTGGGTGTGTGCGAGTGGGCGAGTGTTATTTTTGGGGTGCATGAGGAGGAGGAAGGGTGAGGGTGTTGTTTACTCCTTATTCTCTGGATATATAGTGCATCCCAATCCTGCCAAATCCTGGTCTTCAATTACCAGGAGGAGCAGAAAATTACAACAGTGCTCCCAACTGTCACTTTAGAGCTCGGTTTGACTCTCGGGGAGAGGCAGTCTGATCTAATTACCCAGCCCCTGAAAAGGCTCAGCCAATAACACAGATACCGCCCAGGCAGCGAGAAAAGAAGAGAGAAAAAAAAAAAAAGAAGGCAAGAAAACACACACACACACACACACACACACACACACATGCACACATAACAGCAAAACACAAACTCCACTTAGCTTCTCATTTCATGCAGGGAAAAAAAAACCCAGAGACATTCTGAGTCCTGATGCATGTCGCTCCAAATTCTCTAAGAGGGAGACCGAGCGCCAAAGAGAAAGAAAGAGACGTGAAGGTCAGACTTCATTCAAAATGGTGAAATTATTAGGATTCTCCCTCCCTCCCTTCACCCTCCCTTCCCCTCGCTCTGTGAATATTGTAACTCCTTTTGTGAGAGGACATATCCTTGTGCTATGGAGGCTGACGTCGTCTTTTGTCAGGGCGAGGAGTGTTCCACTCTGCAGCTCAAAAGATGAGCTGCCATGGCCAGAAGGAGAAAGCTGCCTGCCTCTTCTGTCAATAGCGGCTATAGGATCACCTTCAGAGTTATCGATATCTCTCTGAAGTTACTGATCGGGCAGGATAGTTTGTATGCTGCATGTGTTTTGGATGTGCCTTTATTTTGAAATGGAGAACCCTCTCCTTTGATTGGGCATGCTTTGGCACACATTGAAGCCTTTTCTGTTGTGACTGCAGACATTTTATTTTCAAATCTGGCAACAATGCCTGAGCAGGGAGAGACAATCTTTCTTCAGCTCGACATGGGCTCTCTATCCAAAATGGAGGAAGCTTCTCCATCTTAATTTAACGTCTAAAAATCACAATGTCATTACAGTGGCTGTGTAATAAAATGTCAGTTTAATTAAAGGCTGCACAGGTTTGCAAAGTGCAAAAAAAAAAAAAAAAAAAGGAAGGAAGGAAGGAGAAGAAATCTCTCCCCTCTCTGCATTCGGTCTCTGCTGTGATGCTCCCTCGAAATGAGATTCTGTCTGGGAATTCGTGGTGGTTGTGTTATGTCCGTAAACAAGGTCATTTGGAATAAAGGTGCACAGCCTGCCTTAGGGGGGTCCACACTCACAGAGAGAGAGAGAGGCAAAGAGAGAGAGAGGGAGAGAGAGAGGGCTGAACTGTGAGGGAACATGCACAAAAAAAAAAACAACCTTTTTTAGAACTCCATGTCCTATTAGCTCCGACGCAGAGCAAATGTAGCGTGTTTGAATCGGCGTGATCTGCTAGAGCGTGGCCTCTCCGCCGGCAGGTTGGGATGAGAGAGAGGGACCGACCCTGATGTTGATGAAGAGCAAACAAGTCTGTGCTTCATGATCACTGCTGCTTCTGCTTCTGCTTCTGCTGCTGCTGCTGCTGCTGCTGCTGCTGCAGAGGTCCACGGCAGACTCTCGCTGCAGTGGAGATGACGAAGAAGAGGAGGAGGAGGAGGAGTAGGAGAGGCAAAGACGGGGAGGGAATCCTGCAGAGAAAACCCTCATCCGTTTCTCCTCCTCGCTCATTATTAGCGTTTTATTAATTGTTAGCACGGGTGTTGGACATGCTAGCCCGGCCGGGGGATGCGGATGCAGCTCTTGATCGGCGATGTAGAGTCTCAGACGAAAAAGCTTTGAGACTTCTGCTGATGATGATGTAGGTGGGCTATAAATAGGCTGTTATTTTTACCCCTGCCATTTTGGCCTCATTTCTGCTTTTCCCCTGTGTTCCCTCTGTGCCACCAGGATGATTTAGTGGTGGTGATGGTAATGATGGTGAGTGATGAGTGCCTGCCCGGCGAGCGCAACATCCCAGCAAGTTGTGACCATTAAAGGGGTAAACTAGGACAGAAATGAGACTCCTGTGTTAATCCCCCAGTGCACCATGGCCCTGCTAACTGGCTCTTACATAAGAGCCCAGAGAGCAAGAAAAAGGAGGCAGAGAGAGAGAGAGAGAGAGACAGAGAGCCCGAGTGTGTGAGAGAAAGACTGCGAGTCGCTGCATCTTGGAAAAAAAAATGAAATCCCAAACTTGCCAGGCTAGGCCCAGGAGGGGCTGCACGTCTTCTGTAAGAAGATTTCAAATCAACTTTTGCTCTTAATTATTTAGGACAAAGCACTCTTCAAGATTGTAGATATGATGAAGTTCACAGAGGGAGGATATTGTGATTTAGTTTTTAATGCCACAGCGTCCCTCTGGTCTGTGGGACAACGCTTTGTTCTTATTTGCTAAGCACGGAAAAGATTTTCAATGTTTCTAAAACTGTGCAAAACTAAAAAAAAAACAAAAAACTATACAGGCTCAAAAGAGGGCATAACATTTCTCATAGAAATTTATTTATGAGACTTAAATTCAACTTTTTATTTATTTATTTTTGTTGTTTTTGCTCTATTTATATTTTCAGACACCTCAACGGTTAGACTGTGTTACAATATGACCATCAGACAATAGGCCTTTCCTCTACTGATTCTACTGACCTCCCTTTAAATGTTTCTGGATGTATTATTCAGATTTTAACTATAATAGGACAAAGTCAAGTATCTAATTTAATGAATTAAGGGAAAAACAGACACTCCAGCTCGGCTGTTTTGTTTGATAAAGAAGGATCCAAATAGATTTTTTAGAAAACTGACTATATCATAATTTCCTTTAAAAAAAAAAAAAAAACAGGCAGGCATTATAAAACACTGTGATTAAGTATTTCATCCATATCACTCCTTTTGCAGAGGCGTTTTCTTCTTCTTGTATTTATGTACTAAAACGTGTGTGTGTGAAACGACTTGTTTCAAGATAATGACCAAGTCTTCTGCATACAAGACAGAATAAGACCATCCATCCATTATCTGTACACCACTTAATCCTTACCAGGGTCACAGGGGGCTGGAGTATCCCAGCTAACTTAGGGTGAAGGCAGGGGACACCCTGGACAGGTCGCCAGTCTATCACAGGGCTACACTTAGAGACAGACAACCAAGCACACTCACATTCACACCTACGGGCAACTTAGAATCACCAATTAACCTCAAAATGTTTTTGGACTGTGTGGGAGGAAGCTGGAGAACCCGGAGAGAACCCACGCTGCACGGGGAGAACATGCAAACTCCACACAGACAGATCCTAGGTGTCCTCACCGGGACGTGAACCGGTGACCTTCTTGCTGCGAAGCAGCGGTGTGAACCACCGAGCCCCCTTGCAGCCCAGAATAAGACCATATATAAAAAAAGAAAAAAACATGCAATGACATTATCTCACTCTTTATTTTGAATTAAGGAAATGAAGCTTTCAGAATTTAACACAAGTGTGATGAAGTCTGCTGGTTGGTCCAAGTCTCTGAGCTCTCAGGCTGTTCTCATTGTTATATATGAATGAATGGACCACAAAAGCGATAAATTGACAAAGTGACAGTAACTGGCTATGACAAGGGAAACCCGCGGTTACGACAAATGCTTCAACCTATACTGGGAATTTTCCCACAGGCTGCTATTATTATTAATGGTCGCATGATGCTATCATGTTTTATATCAATCAGCGTGTGTGTGTGTGTATTATGTGTGTGTATGTGTGGGTTTGTCTTACAAGTCGAGGATGCTACATTTAGTCCATGTAGTTAAACTGCATGTCCACTCGCTCTCAGACGGCCTCGGGGGTTTGGCTCAGCCGGGTGCCAGCCCGTCTCAGCTCTGGCCAACTTGTCATGTGTAACGGGAAGTGCGTCGCTCTGAGTGAACCTGTCGGACGCGGCTGGCCCACACTCGCTGCTCTTTATTACAGGGTTGCGTGACCAGATGTTGAACCCTGCTTGTTTTTATTTCTTCAAGGGATAAAAATAAAAACCAGCACAGTATCCCAGTTCCATAGTACACGCTGTACTAGCTGTTTGCAGTAATTTTAATAGTATGCTGCTGTTGCGATTAGTATTCAAGAGATAAATGCACTTAAGCACTCTGTAAATGATGCAATACAGGCGCTGCGTGTTTATGCAGTGTTTTTTCCAAATATTTATTTATGTCTTTCCTTATGGAGGTAGATATTTATTTAATATCCGATTAGCAATTCCGTTTTGTTTTTGCATTGCATTATTAGGGAAATAGAATAAATCAGCAGCACACTTAAAAGAAAGGAAGATCTTGCATGATCCATGTGCTTTCTGTGTACTTTGCTGCGCTTTACTTTTCCAGTGTGAACATGCAGCCTGCTTGTAATTAGCAGTTGTAGTTTGGACTCAGGACAAATCACAAGAGTTAAAACGGTATGACTGCTGCAAACCTGAGCGCTAATTCTAACAGACTGAACACAGTTCAGGTCTTAGAGGATCCGCAAATGTTTGTTGACATCTGGAGTTTTTTTTGGTCAACAAGCTGCTCCGTGTGCGAACCCTGTGTACATACAGCAATAAAAGCAAAGAACAGAACAAAAACCCAACAATACAACTTATCCAACTGCAAAAAGAAAATAAGGATGAAATAGGAATTACCAAAATACCACCATTTGTCAGAGCCGGGAACTAATAATCAGATTTTCAACTTCACTCCTTGAACCACTCATCTGTTATGAAGTTCAGTCGGGGGAAAAA